GTGTCTAGGTATACTTTGAGTGAAATTGTTCCTATTTGATTAATGTTTGGCTTGAATTGATGATTCAATCACAAAAGTGAGTTCGACAATTTTCCCTTGGAAAATCCCTTGTTTACAGAACTCGATTTGACTTCTACAACAATTCTGTGTTGAATGCAGTACTTTGGGATATCTTGCATTATTCCCTACTGCATCATACACAACATCAATATTCCACTTGCACAGGATCTTTTCCTATTTGTGTGGATACAGATTGTCCGACAGACTTGCGTCCGGCATACTTGCGTCGAATCATGACATCGCGCACGATAAAAGTCCGATCGCACGTGTCGAAAACCTCGTACTTGAATAGTTTCGTTTGGAACGTAAAAACTCATATTTTGTCATATCCCAACATTCCTTGCTTCATAGCAAAGAACTTTTGATTGGCTTCCCAGAAATCCAAGAAGTCATACTCAGCATCAGCACTCTTCTTCATGAATCGTTCAATACCTTTCAAGAGTTCGATTGGATCTTCAAGAGTAGTCGTGATATCGGCTTCACCTCAAAGCTGGATATCCATCGCTTTAGTCACAAACTTAAGCATGATGTTTGACTTCACAGTTCGCTTATTCCTTTCGAAGTAGGCCGATATTCACATGTTCTCGTCGAGCTTTGCAGAATAGAGAATCTTGTTTTGGGCCATCTCTGTTTCTCTTGCATCAGCTTCAGTTTGAGTTGGAGCATTCAATGTTGGAGCGATCGCATTGAAGTCGATTGACTTTCCATCTCAAATTGATTTCACCATGTCTTCGGAACATTTCATTCCAGAAGCTTGGATATAGTCAATCACTCTTTCTTCGGCATCTTTGTACGACGATCTTGCCTTTCCATTGTTTTCATCTTTTGTTGAAAATAGATGTTTCACAACTGTTGAACTTGAATTGCTCTTGACTTTCTGAGGAGTCACACGTCCTCTTCCACCACCGGATGAAGAACGTCCCATAGTCAACGAATCACTCACTCCTTTGTAGATAAGGCAGTGCTGTTCTTGACGTAAATTTGTTTTGTTGCCTTTTGTGATTGAATGTTAGAATAAAGCAAAATGTGCTCTATTGTGAGTGCCTTTAGCGCTCAGAACAAACTCTCTGCAATCTAAATTCGTAATCGACTGTACAACACTTTCACGAAAATAGTTCTCCTGTGTTAGGTATACTTTGAGTGAAATTGTTCCTATTTGATTAATGTTTGGCTTGAATTGATGATTCAATCACAAAAGTGAGTTCAACGATTTTCCCTTGGATTACAGAACTCGATTCGGTTTCTACGAGGATTCTGTGTTGAATGCAGTACTTTGGGACATCTTGCATTATTCCCTACTGTATCATACACAACATCAATATTCCACTTGTATAGGGTCTTTCCCTTTTCGTGTGGATACAGATTGTCTGGCAGACTTGCGTCAAATCCCGACATCACGATCAAAATCCGATCGCATGTGTCAAAAACTTCGTACTTCAATAGTTTTTCTTGGAACGTAAAAACTCATATTTTGTCATGTCCCAACAGTCACAATATGCAGCAACACAGGAGCGGCCTGTAACTGGACCAAGTCGCGCCGAGTCAGCTTTTCGAGGATGTCGTTCGGACAGAATGATGGGAATAGCATAGTCTTTAATGTTTGTTCCACTTTGGCCGACTGGCGCTTGTTTGTTCTCAAAATTACTGGGCGTGCGTGCCCTTTTTGATCTGCTTCCGAACCGTTGAGCCTTCGTCCATTTGGACAAAAATATTCGACCATTTCAAATGGTCGACTATTTTTGTCCAAATGGACGAAATGGACGAAATGGACGAAGAGCTCACAACCTGGATGCTGCAATTTGAAATCGGGGGCGGCAAAAAAATTGCACGCAAGCTGGTCAAACAATTAATGTCTGTGTCACATAACAACAAAAAAGGGGTAACAAAATACCGGTACCTCTATTAAAATAGGTACCGGTACGTGTACAGGCTCAAAGCAAAATAATCAGTTCTATATGGCATGTCCACAGCATGCCGAAGTTGCCAACTTTGGCGGGCCAAATTGCACTCTACAGACAATAAAGGAGTTAGATCGAGAGATCCACTAGTCGTTGATTGAGTGCAGCTACAGTATCTTTGGAACATGATCCAGCCTCACACGCACGAATTGGACGACTGGATGGAGGATTCATCCGATCAAGAGGTTTTAAAATAATATTGGCTAGTTTTTTAATTATAGAAGTTTCGTCGGTCCGACGAAGTTTGTCCATTGGACGAAGGTGTCCAACAAAGTTCGTTCATTTGGACGAAGCCTCCACGAATGGAAATGAATGTTTCGGCAGGCTCGTTTCCAACAAAGCCCAAGCTTTGCATTGCGCAGAGTTTGTCATCGGCATGTCATCTCTGTCATCTCCGCTAGACAACCTCCACGACATCTCTGAGGACATTGCCAGCAAGCCTGCCATTTCAGGCCGCTCCAGGGAGGTCCTGCTGAACACCGCCTGTATGTCGTACGTTTCCCCCACAACTGGGTCAATCATGAAACTGGTATAACGGTTTTTCCGCCAGCGTAGCATTTTCCGAGCATGCAAATACGGAATCTATTTATTCAGCAGTACTGCTGAAAAATTCAGCAGTATTATAATACTATTAATATTTTACTGTAGATTAGCAATCATAAAACCAGTCCTAAATCAATGACAGGATCGTAAAAGTACTGCTGAATAATTAGATTCCGTTTTGTCAGATTCCGTTGCTTTCAGTTGGCGCGCACGCATGTTAATAATTTAACGGTCATGATTCGTAATGCCTAGGGTACAGGTTTAGTGCTACGGACGCCGGAAGGACTATATCCATTAGGACCTCCCTGTGCTGCAGTTTGCACTTTTCTTGAATAAAGGGGATTTGAACCCATATATATGCTCTGTGGGCCTCATGGCCTCCCTCACAGATGATCTTCTGGCCCTAAGCCCTGTGTTACTTGACCAGACCCATCTCGCCATGTCCTTCATCGCAGTTGGAGCCAACAATCGCGCTGTTGATTGTGGTGTTCCTCTCTTGACTGACACCCAGCACAACCCTCGCAACGCCAAGGGAGCTGAGACCGAGACATTGCCCGATGATTTCAATTTTGGCGTTGAGAACCCCACCTTTGTCGCCCTCCCTCAGTTCTATGTTTACGTTCCTGGTAGCCAGATCCCAGAGGACTTGATCTTCAGGTCAACTTGGAGGAATCTGTCCTTGCCACTCTGCTTCTGCCCAAACGCTTTTGAAGGCATGCAGTTCCTTTTCTGCCAAAACAACGGAAAAAGTCTCCTGGCCGACGAGTCTGTTATTGGCCCCTCGTCCATTCCATTGGCCTATTTCACCTGGAAGGCCCTCCCCCACCCTGTCACCCGGACATCTCTCTTGTCCCTGGCTTCTTCTGCCCACATCGGCGCTACCGGTGGCTCGGTGGCTTACCTCTGCTAGACTAAGACCTTCAAGAATGCGGTGGCGCTCATTGGAGCCTCCCACCTGGTCCACGATCCGGCATTTGCAACCCCTGCTACTCCACCTCGCTCCTGCTGCTGTCCCAGCCGTCACGCCCGATTGTGCTCCAAATCCTGCCAAAATCATTGCCCAAACCATCGCCGCCATCAAAGCGGGAGCCGCAAGTGAACCTGCCCCCTCCATTGCCAAGGAACGAGCCTGTCTTGCATGGCGCCTGCTCTTTGGCCAGTATGTCGAACAACTGGATGGTACCACAGTCTTTGTCCCAGCTGCTCTGTCCAACGAATTTGAAAATGTCCGCAAGCTCAAGCCCGCTGAAGCTCTTTGTTAGAATAAAGCAAAATGTGCTCTATCGTGAGTGCTTTTAGCGCTCAGAACAAACTCTCTGCAATCTAAATTTGTAATCGACTGTACAACACTTTCACGACAATAGTTCTCCTGTGTCTAGGT